TTTTATTTTATTTTTTTCAGTCAACCAGGTTTTCCAGTCGAAGGATGATTCAGATATCCAGGATCAAATTTTGGCATTTTTGCTGCGGAAAAATGTCATGCCTCTTCAAGAAAAGGATTTATTAGGTACAGTAAATCACTGTTTTATTTTTGTGCATTGCACTGAAACAAAGACAAGATGTTCTGTTATGTCCTCAGTATATTGCATGGGATAAAAGTCTTTTGTAAAAAAATTAAATGTCAAGATTTGGGTTAGATAATGATTCAATGTAACTTTACTGTAAAAATTAAACAAGTTACATTTACTTGTACTTGAAATTGAAGAAGTGGTCTTACTAAATGTTATCTTTTTTTAAATACAGCAGACAAAAAAATCTTTTGTTTTTTTGTGATTCATATGAATCGAAAATTGATTCCTAAATCATTTTATAATTCAAAATCTCCAAATCAAATTTTATTTAAAGAGCGTTTAAAATGTTTTAAATTACAATTGTTTTCTAAAATGCTGTACTAAATTATCAGACATGAGCACTAACCAAATACATTTAAAAAACTCTCATAATGAGTTAAAAGTTAGAGAATGAAAATACATTTTAAGACTGGATTTAAACAAAAAACATCTTTGCACTTACCTTATAGCTTTGTTGTTAATGAATTTCAGGACTGGAGTTGGCCAGGAAAATCACAGAACTGCAGGAGGTAAAAAATAAAGAAAGAAATAGATTTATATATTTAACATGTTTTATGTGTACAAGTTGTTTCATGTTATGGAAATTGCAAACAATAATTCAAAAAACACAAAAATGATATATATGATAAAGCTAAATCAACTGTTCTGATTGTCAAAAACCCGTTTCAGCTTCAAAAGGAGCTCAATCTTGAAAGAAAACTGGTGTCAAACGCAATGGACAACAGAAGATCGATGACCCGCAAACGAGATGACAGTGAGTTTTGCAGATTTATATCTTCAATAAAGTTGATAAAAGTGTCATATTTCATTTTTTTTTTTTTTTTACAATTCTTTGTAGCCTGTTTCTGGAAATACTGTGTTTGAGGATCTTCAAGTGAAGTGCGAGGAGAAGGAAAAGTCTGCAAAATCATTGAATGCCTTAAGATGTGTCAAACAAGCAGAATCATTTTACATATCAAATGAATATGTATTCAGAACATGTCATGATAATCATGATAGTAATAATGTACTCACGACTGTACTCTTTTAACAAAAATGTATTTTATTTAAATGTCATGTCAATAAAATGTAAAAGGAAAAAAATCTGGTTTATTCCTTCATTGCATTATGCACATTATTTGCCTTTTTAAATATTCTCTAATTTAAATCAACGGCAAGCTGCCTTGAGTGTTTTTTTAAGAGCTGTTGTCTCCCTCTAGTGTTAAGTCTTTGAACTGTCCAAATGGGACATTTCTCTTTCACTCAAAAATGAATATTTGCTGTTAGTTTGTTCATCCTCAAGTTGTCAAGAAATATTTTTTATTATTCAGATTTTAGTTAAAACTGTAGCCCTTGAAGATTTATAATATGCAAGTCAGAGCCGGTTTCCAAACATTTTATCCTACCCATCAGATTATCCTACCAACACTGTATTTCAATGGTTCAGAGTAGGGATTAGGTAAGTTAGGGCGATACTACAGCTCCATATTACACTACTTCACAGTAGAACAGTGCATCCAGAAAGCATTTATAGAGCTTAACTTTTTCCAAAATAGATTAAATTCATGTATTTCCTCAAAATTCCACATGCAATATCCCATAATGACAATGTGAAAAAAGATGTTTTGAAATTGTTGCAAATTTAATAAAAAAAAAAAAAAAGCTGAAAAACACATGTACAGAAGTATTCACAGCCTTTGCTCAATACTTTGTTGATGCACCTCTGGCAGCATTTACAGCCTCAAGTCTTTTTGATTATGAAGTCACAAGCTTGGCACTCCAGTCTTTGGGAATGTTTGCCCATTCCTCCTTGCAGTACCTCTCAGGCTCTATCAGGTTGGAAAGCGACGGTGTACAGCCATTTTCAGATCTCTCGAGGGATGTTTAATCGGATTTAAACCGATGGCTGGGCCAATCAAGGATATTCACCAAGTTGTTGTGAAACCACTCCATTAATATTTTTGTGATGAGCTTTGGGTCATTGTCCTGCTGGAAGATGAACACCTTCCCCAGCCTTGTGCCTCGAGACAATCCTGTCTCAGAGGTCTATAGACAATTCCTTTGTCTTCATGTTTGGTTTGTGCTTTGACATGCACTGTCAAACCTGGGCCCTTATATAGACAGGTGTATGCCTTTTCAAATCATGTCCAATCAGCTGCATTTACCACAGGTGAACTCCAATAATCTGCTGAAACATCTCAAGAATGATCAGTGGAAACAGAGTGTACCTGAGCTCAATTTAGAGGCTGTCAATACTTATGTACATGTGATGTTTCAGTTTTTTTTTATTTTTAATAAATTTGCAATCTATTTTTCAGATTGTCATTATGGGCTATTGTGTGAATTTGAGGGAGTAAAGTCAAGCGCTATGAATATGTTCCACATGCACTGTATAAGGAATAACTGATGATGGGCTATTAAATTATTTGACAATAATGCACACCAGAGGCAAATTGTCAGGTTTTTGTCCTCAACTACTGTGAAGCACTAGATTTTTAAGCTTTTCAACCAAGGACTTCTGCTTTGTTTTAATGTGATTTTTGACTGTTTTTTTTTGTGAAATACCCAAAATCATTCTGTGTATTGATATGAAACATTGTACAGTATAAGTAATGTGGTCAAAACCTGTCTGGATCAACTTTAGCTGTGCGTTTATTTGTAAACCACACTCCTTAGAATGTTCATCAGCCAATCTAAATCAAGTATTCAACAGTATTATAAAGACAAAATAATGTCCATAGAAACTGCTTTGCAAACACTATTTCCTGTAAGAGTCTTCTAAATGGAATTACTTACTATGGAACTTTGAAGATTGTTTTTATTTATTATTATAACATTTTAACAGTACAAAAATTATACATGCCAGGGGGTAAGTTAATAAATACATTGTAGAGTTCACAAAGTTTTAAAGTGCGTAGGGCTTTCTTATTTAGAGAGTCTCTGATACTACTAATATGTTTGGAAGATTTCTATATACTATTTTAATTCTGACCTAAACATTTATATGAGTAAAATACTAACAACAAAATAAAAATAGGCAACATCAATATGAGTTGCATACAGAATTTACTGGGATTCTACAAGCAAATGTCTTAAAAAACTCAAGAAGGATGCAGTATCTCTTGTGGGCTGCTCTGCAGAGTATGATAAGCGTAGAAAAGGAAAAGTTTTTCCAAAGTCTGCTTATTAACAGCAGAACGCATCCGTTTCACCAACAGTCTTCAACACTTGTGAGAGGTAAGTTTAACATTACTACTAATTCATGTATTTGTTTGTTTTGGGCACTTAAAAGAAGTCTAAAAATCTGCACTTGTGTTTATTTCTTTTTCAAACCTGCATCTCTTACTTACTCATGTAGAATGCAAAAACAGATTTTTAAAAAATATATACAATTTTTTAAATATTACTTTTTATCCATGAAGTTAAAGTCAGTGCTGTCCGATGTTATTTTGGACCTCATTGCTTGTATTGTATGGACAAAAAAATAAAAAAAAAATAATAATAATATTAATAATAAAAAACATAAAGGTGAAAATTATGCCCAATAAGAATGGTTTAGTTTAAACCATGGCCCGTTCTTTAGAATATCAAAATATAATGAATGCAATTTATTGAACAACTGAATAATGAAGACACTGGGCTTTGTAAATGTATTAGCTTTAAGGTACATTTTGGTGTAATAATTGTGTTGCTAAATTCTGTTTTTGTAGTTTACACATCAGCTATAATGTTGTTGTTTTCAAATGTAGTATTGTTTTATTTGACTTTTTGAAATGATTTGCATACAGACAAAGAAGCTGTGAAAATTATACCAAAAAATGCTGTATTGTGCATGCCAGGCCCGTAGGTGTTGTTTTGGTTGCCAAATATACTTGCCCATATTGAACATATAAAGTGCATTATGCAACAGTTTTGTAATTTACACAAGGGTGATAATGGTATCATTTTCAAAAACTTTGAAACACATTTTCTTTTCCTTTTTGAAAAGTTTTGCAAACAGACAACAAAGCAGTCAAATGTTCTCTGTTCGCATGGAGCCACAAAAATGACAAGAAAAAAAAACACTGCATTATGCATGCCTGAACAGTAGGGGACAATGTTGCTTGTAAAGAAACACTATGCACCTGTACCAAAGTCCCTTTGTGGCAAGTCAACTCACTCGGCAGCCATCTTTGAAACACCTATCGAGCAGTATGCTCAGGCATTCTGTCTGAAAGGGGAAACATCAAACTCTCCAAAACTGCTTGCCAAGCTTACAATTGAATTTCATACTAGGAATCACCAATAAAGTTAAACAACAACTGTCTCTTTAGTTTCATTTCCAAACATCCAATTCACACAAAATCTGCAGAAACTCATGTCTGGTCCGAGCCCCTCCCCCAGAGTATCGTCAATCTAGCGATCGATGATTGGCTCCTGTACATCTGGCTTTATTCGCCATATAGTGATCGATGATTGCCTCCTGTATTAGAAAGCAGACTTTATTTGCCATATAGTGATCAATGGTTGGCTCCTGTACTAGTAGGCTTTATTCTCCATATTGACCATATATACACTTTTCCCCATTCAGAAAGATACAAGTGACATGTCTTGTGCATTCTATAGTCTTTGCCTGTACATACCTACAGCCCACCATTGCTAGATTGGTTGTCAAATACTAGCACACATATAGTTTTGCATAGTTTTCAGAATCTTGCGACTATAAGTTTTATTTTTTTTTCGGCCACCAAAACAGAATGATCATGTAAGTGAAAGGCCGAAATGCCTTAAAAGTGTCTCTTGTGTAAATACACACTTATTCTGACATGTACTTGTGTTTGTTCTCCAGTTTGAGAGTATGTGGTTCAGATTTGCTCTCCTTCAGCTTCTGCCTCAGCTCACCCTCAGTTCTTGGTGCCCCAGTGAGTGTGTTTGCGACATTAGGGGATCTGCAAAATGCATTGGAAACATCAACGACATACCCCAACTGGACCCGACAAAAACATTCCTACTCTTGTTGAACGATACAAACATAAAGGTCCTCAAGGACCGAAGTTTTCAGCAGCTCTCTCTCCTGCTACGAGTAATGATCACGCACAGCACTCTTGACACCATCCAACCAGAAGCCTTCCACGGTGCTCCACAGCTTCGCTCCATCAAAATGTCATCAAACGCACTTGCAGTTGTTCCACCTAAGGTGTTTATTGAGCAGAGGAACTTGGAGCAACTGCAGCTGGATGGCAACCAGATAGTTTCTGTTAGTTCAGAACTCTTTGAAGGGTTGGTCAGCATGACTGAGCTAGATTTGAGCAAGAACCGCATTTCCCAACTGGATGCTGGCGTCTTTCAGAGCTTAACCAAGCTGATTTATTTAAACTTGGCTGGTAATCAACTGAGAAATCTACCAAAGACTGTATTCCACAACCTTGGTAACCTTCAGACTCTGGTCCTCACGTCCAACCATCTGGAGATTCTCGAAAGTGGTTCCTTTGATCATCTAAGTAACCTGTTGGTACTAATGCTACAGAAGAACCAGATCAGAGAGATTCCTCCACGTCTTTTCTGGCACATGCCATCCCTGCTCACCCTTTCCATGTCAAACAACCAACTCCAACATATCCCACCTGAGAGTTTCTACTACTTACCCAACCTAACCAAGCTCACCCTCTACAAGAACCCCTTGATCTTCCTGCCAGACCAGCTGATCGGACACATGCCAAGGCTCCAAGAACTATACCTTTACGAAACTAACCTAGTCACTGTGCCTTCAAATCTTTTTGCTAACACAACCAACCTTCAATATCTCAATGTACACCTAAACAGCAACTTAACCTTGCTACCAAAAGACGTTTTCTGTTGCCTTCCCAACCTAAGAAAACTGTCCCTCAAACACAACAACCTTCGCGAGCTGCATCCGGAGATCTTTTCTAATCTGAACAGGCTTCAGATTCTAACCCTTGATGGGAACAAGTTTGAGTCTCTCCCATCTACAATATTTCTCAATACCTCAAGACTAGAAATACTGAATCTCAACCAGAACCATTTGAGGTTTCTCCCAGGAGATGTTTTTGTTCATGCAGGAGCGCTTAAGGTTCTCACTCTTAGTGATAACCGATGGATGTGCGATTGTAGCATATTGGGTTTTGCAGAATGGATTCGAGACAACTGGAGGATGATCAGTGACTTGGATAATGGAGTAGCATGCTATGAACCGAACTACCTACAAAATCATTTGCTGCAAACATTGACCTACAAAGATCTCCAATGTGGCTTGAGTGTCTTACAGACAACATTAATGACAAACATTAACACCTTTACCGTACCAATTCTCATGTCAACAATCCCTAGATTGATTTCAACTACAAGTAGGGAAGCGACTGAAACTACAAGTCCTTTTCCAGTAGTCACATCTCAAGTTTCTCCAACATCTAATTATATCTTCATAAAGGAAGGCATTGACTATTACAATGACTATGACAATGATCCAGCATTCTACAAAACAATTGTTCTTGATAACGGACCGGAAATTGTGCACAACAATTACTACAACGGTTGGGTGTACCTGTGGACTTTGCCGTTGACTGGTCCCTATAGTGGCTTCATGTTGGCGTTGTACTTGGTTCTCTTGGTCACCGGTGCAGTCCTGATCATGGTCAGCTTGTATGCTTTGTATCGACTTCATAAAGTAATGTGGGTTTTAGGGACTCATACTATGGGAGATAGAATAATGGCTAGAAGAGTACGACGCTTCAGAATTAATCCCTAGAGTTTCTACAGTAGATTGTTATATACAGTTGACGTCAGAATTATTAGCCCCCCTTTGATTTTATTTTATTTTTTTATATTTATCAAATGATGTTTAACAGAACAAGGAAATTTTCACAGTATGTCTGATAATATATTTTTTAAATTTTTTTTGGAGAAAGTCTTATTTGTTTTGTTTTGGCTAAAATAAATGCAGTTATTAATTTTTTAAACACCATTTTAAGGACATAATTATTAGCCCCTTTAAGCTAGTTTTTTATTTCGATATACAGAACAAACCATTGTTATACAATAACTTGCCTAATTACCCTAACATGCCTAGTTAACCTAATTAACCTAGTCAAGCCTTTAAATGTCACTTTAGGCTGTATAGAAGTGTTTTGAAAAATATCTAGAAAAATATTATTTACTGTCATCATGACAAAGATTAAATAAATTAGTTATGAGATATGAGTTATTAAAACTATTATGTTTAGAAAGGTGTTGAAAAAAATCTTCACTCTGTTAAACAGAAATTGGAGAAAAAAATAAACAAGTGGTCTAATCATTTAGGGGGGCTAATAATTCTGACTTCCATTCTTTTACGAACAGCAGACTTTCAATGACTTTTTAAATCACCATTAACTTTAAATCATATACCACTGTAATGCATACCCCAGCATATGAAGCACCATAAAAATCCTTACTGTATTTTATATTTCACTTAAAATTGACATTAAAATGTCAGAGTAATGTTCAAAAATTAACCATTATACAAAGTCTTATTCAAAGAATTTTAATCAAATTTGTTGAATTCAATACTTGTGTTATTCAAATGCGGTTTTTGAAATATTGATAGAAATATCCATTATTTCTCATTGTTCTTGCACAAGATTTAAAATTTTACATTTTACATAATGTAATTTCTCTGTTTCTTTATTCTTTTGGCAGTTGTGAACAATTGTTGAAAAAAAAAAAAAGTTTTATATATATATATTTGTATGTGTGTGTGTGTGTGTGTGTGTATTATATATATATAAAACTTATTTATATATTAATGGATTTATATATATATATATATATATTAATGGATGTGTCTACATTTGGTATCTATGCATTTCTCACAAAGGCCTGAAGCCATCAAGGCTTTATCTTCTATTTTGCCGTTCTTTTTAAAAATACATGTTTCATTACAAATGATCTTCAGCACAACAATTTATGTGAAAATAAGTGTTTATTTATGATTCGCATTTAGCATGCTTTGCAATTTTTCATGTTTAAATAAAAATGAAACCAATTGATTTCAAATGGTCCTAAAATTATCCCTGTTAAACACATTAATATATACTAGGTAAGATTATATATTTATTTGCATTTATGTAAGCAGGCATCTACAATGAATAATTTGTCTCTTTTTAAACGTATAAGACTTTCTTTTTAAAGTTTTAATGTTCCAGTACTTTACATTTACAAAACTGATATGATGAACACACCCTTGGTAGTTGTTTGCATGGGCGAAAACCAAATGAAAAACCTTTCTGTACACTGTAAAGCCCAACAGTCAACTTTATCAAATGAAATGAGTGTAGTGAACTCAAAATGGACTGAAAGGTAATTCTACTCATTTGAAAAGAGTTTTGAACAGTGTTGAAGGTGATGAGTTAGTTAAATACCTCATTGCTTCAACTTAAATGGAGTAAGTTCACAGTACTCATATAGATTAGTAACTCAAATGGTTTGTAGCAATCGGTTTCCTAAAACAGTTTGAGTTGCCTTAACATATTGGGTTTTACAGTACTCAGTTGGTTTGATTTCTCTTTATTTATTGGGTTTTACTGTGCTCAACTTGCTTCTTTTACTCAAATGGATTAAGTTCAAAGTGCTCATTTGGATTAGTTTTTGAACTTAAATGGTTTGAGTGTCCTTAACTTTTTGGGATTTACCGTGTACTTTCAATGTGGTTTCTTGGCCACTTATACCGAGTTTATGTATAATTTTTTAAAATTAATTATAACTTTTATTTTTATATTTTTTCATGTAAAAATTTACATAATTAAATAATATTTTTATTTATTGAACAAAAGTATTTTCAATGATTTTAAATGGAATTTTTACATTATTTGTTTCCTGTTTTAATTGTTTTTAGGTACAAATGCCTTAAAAGTGTTATTTTTATTACATGCCACAAATATATAATATTTCACAATTATTATATTTCTAAAAAAAGCATTGTTGAATAAATAAATAAAATGATTGTGGATTCACTAAATAAAAGTAACAGAAATGAATAAATTACCAATTAAATATTTCTATTTTGTTTACAGCATTGTCTATACCTTAGCTTTGTTTTAAAATATTATTATTTTTAAAGCTAAATTCACATGAAATTTCTTAACTTTTGTGTTTTCAATTTAATGGGGATAAAAAACAATAGTCTTCACTCTGAACCCAAGCATGACATGGTGAAGAGAGGATGTAAAAGCAAATAATACCACTTTCTGCAATACGGATTTGTGCCACTGGAGACATAAATCCCACACACACACTTCACCTTCAAGTATAACACTGAACCTCCCATTGAATACTTGTGGTTAAACTCACTATTAGCATAGTTTAGCTGACACAGCAAACATGTAGCAAATTCTTATCAGATTCTCACCACTCCCACATGACTAATATTACATCTCAAAGTATGGTGTGGTAACTCAAAGCAAGTGTTCCTTCGCTGGGTGTTCGTTTGACTGAAGCAGGATGTGATAAAGCTCACGTGTCTGAAATATCTGAATGATGACTCTAAGAAATAAACTACTGGAAAAATGAAATATGTGCCAAGTTTTTATACAGCTGTAGATCAGCTGTTTTACTACTTTAAACTCTTCCTGCTTCCCATTGAAATCTTGTGTTAAAATAAAAGCTAAACTTTTTTTTTTATTTTTTATTGCAACTAGTTTATATATTCTGCTTGTACTTTTCAATGTACTTTTCTACAAATACCACATTGTTTTAAACAAGTTTTTGGGTAAAATATGGACAAATTTAACTCTTGTGAACATCTTAACCATAAGCCATCATAACCAAATATTGTCCAAAAGTCCGGCAATTTTACAGCGAGATGCTGCACAATTCTGTTTGTACTGTTCTTTTTCTCTTTCACTTTTGATTGGTTATAAAATAAAAATGATAAAATAAGTTGTAATATTTTTTGACTGATATTTTTCAGAAAAAGTGATTAGTTGACTTTAAAAAGTGAGCAAATTAATGCCTTAAAGTTATTAAGCAAACAAACTATGTCCATAATTATGAAAAATAATTCAACTTAAAGGAGCCATTTAATAAAACATCTACCTAAGCATATCTGAATAATTCAGCTATTTAGAGCTCAGTAATGAACCGTAAGCCTGAAATAGCATTGTTTCCTCATTCTCATGTTAATCCTGTGAGTGTAAAATTCAGGTAAAAACCAGGCCAATTGAAAACACACACACACACACACACACACACACACACACACACACACACACACACACACACACACACACACACACACACACACACACACATGTAGACTACATTACGTTGCATTACGTGATCATACATTTGCACCCCTCAGGCTGCATTTGTTTGGACACAATGTTTTTAATAGGTCACAACTATGATGTTTTTCCCCTTCCTATTAAGTTTATCTCAGCTTTCAGTAAACTTACTATGAACGTGAGGCGCTTGAAAACGAAAGAGGCAGGGAGACTAATAAAACCCTAACATGACAGTGTCTTTACATTGTTTTCAATATGTTGCTAAATAAAGCAGACACTCAGACACACAGCGCCAGTGTGTGTATAGGAAATTCATTCAAAACATGCAGCGTGGTGCTTTGCATCCGCAGTGTGGTGGACTTCAATTAGGAGGGGTTCTCAGTCAGCAGTCTATTCACAGCCGTCAGAACACAAAATGCAGGATGTACAGATTAAAAATAATTTAGTGGCACTCCAAAGTGGGATAAGGTCAGTTTAACTGTATCTATTGTTAGTTTAACTTACAATATATTATGTAATATATTAACCAAGCGGAAACATCCCACTCTCCTTCGTGAAGCCAATACTGCTAGATGCTAGATGCTCACTGACTGCAATGCTAAACTGGCTAATTTTACAGCTGATAAAAAACATGTTTACAGCCTGGTACAAAAGATGGTTTTAGTGCAATAGCTAATCTTACCCTTTATGACAACTGTGAGGGATGTGAATTTTTTTATAAGTCATCCGTTTTGTTTTTATTAAGTTTTATTAAGTCTGTATAATTAAGGGCATAGCCACTGAAGTAACAGCTAGGTCTCACTGGTCGCCATCATGTCATTCTGGCTGATTAGCCCCTGAACTCGGCATTTACATTGTATTTTTGTGTTTTTTTATGTGGCTTTACACAATAAATTGCCTTTTAAATGTATTTTCTACAATTATCAGATGATATGACATGCTGTGTACACTTAATTGTGTTCACAAACCATTCAAGTTGCTTCCGTTTCCCAGTTGAGTAAAATTATAAACTAATTTACTATTATTACAAATGTATTTGTCAGGGATCTGGAAGGATGATGGAGCGGGGACCCACTTGGAGACAAAAGTATTTATTAAAACAAAACAAGAAGGGAAAAAAAAACTACCCTGAGGGGGAAAACATGGATAAATTGCAAAAACAAACTTGACTGGGCTGGCAGGACAAAGCAGGGCTGGAAATAACAAGACAGGAAAATATCGACGACGAACTGGCACAGGACAGCAGACATGAGGGGATTATAAGCAGATGTAAATTAACACAAACAGATGAACATAATTAAATAATAATGGGTTAACAAGGAGGGTGGGACTAGACAATAGATGGGAGAGCGCATGACACAGAGACAACACAAACCATGCGCTCACATAAAACAGGACAAGAACACGCAGCCAATGAGAGAACTCATTAACCGCATGTTCATGACAACACAAGCACAACTCTGAAGCACACAAAAGCACGTGACCACTGTGTAAACACAGAGCTACGTGCTTTGACAACAGACGCATGACACGAGCACACGATAGATAAACACAATACCGTGCGCTCACACATATGCAACGCGCATGTTTTATCTCAGCGTCAACCAAAACCGAAACCAACTAGACGGAGACAGCGAGAATGAAACAGCGCGATGCTGACAGAACAAAACACAAACACGAGTACAAGAGCGCACGTCCAAGGCACGCAGAGCCCGCGTGGACGCATTAAGCGGGAGCACACACGCTCTGCGCACACCCACGACGCCGCGCGCAAACACAGAGACAGACTCAATGACAGGAACAGGACAGGACAGAGCCAGTGTCCGGACTCTGCCACCAAAACAAGAACTTACAAGACCAGAGTGGCAGAACCCTGACAGTATTTGTTTTTTTTTTAAGATAATTTATCATTTTCTTTAGAACTTAAATGCACTCCAAAATCTGACAGATTGATTAGCTGTAGGAAATATGAGTCGTTGTCATTCATATAGTGTTATGCTGGATTTCATGAATAGCCTTGCATTTACTAACACAGACTATATTTGAAGTATTTGGATGTAATTTGCATTTTCCTCCTGAAGAAAAACATAATAAGAACAATATTTAGTGGCTCAATGTATTGCAACAGTGTTTTTAAAAGTCTAAACACTTTTTTGATGTAGTGAACAACCAAGCACATGTGGTCAGAACAGCAGGTCATAAAGTATTAATAAATAAAGTAGTAATAAAGAAAGCGTTTCTCCCAAAGAAAATCCCGTCTAAGCAAAATGCTAGCAGGCATCTGTAGCTTCACTCTCGCTTCACCTTTTTGCACTTGTTTTTCATCACCCGGTCAGTGCAAAATAGCGAAGGTTGGCCATGCCTACTTGTAGCTTCATTTGAGCTCTTCAGAAACATACGGGTGACGTCACGGATACTACTGTATGTCCATATTGATGAGCTGCATCTCAGAGCAGAGCTCTTTAACTCTTTCCTTTCTTTGATAAAAAATTAGAAAGACAACAGTTACCTGCCATTGATTCTTTTTTTTTTCTTTTTTTACGTCAATGTGTGGTTTAGGTATATTACAGTAAGGAAAGCCCTAACGCATGACGTGAGTGAGGTACCAGACTTCTGGGTCTCCTAGGAGCAAAATAAAAGAAGATCAGTAAAACTGAAAGTCAGATCGCATGTATAAATGAAGAGTTATACAATTTGCATTTGACTTACTCTCTTCATTATAATGGCTCACCACAGCAAAATGATCCGCACCCATCAATTTGAATGAAGTTATATACATTCAAGACTGAAATTATTAATTCCCCAGGCTAATTCTGACTTAAAATAAATAAATAAAATAAAAGCTGAGAAATTTATATATTTTTTCCACAATGATGTCTCTTGTACATCATAATTCTGACTACAGCTATACTTTCTATATACTGTAGGTGTCAAGCCAATAGCTTTTTACAAAGTAGTAACAAAGCTTTGTATTATTAATTCAATAATAACTCTAACTTAAAAGTCTAACTTAAGCCGCCATATACAGCATATTATGTTTGTCACACTGATTTTAGTAGAGAGTTTAAAACCTTTTAATATATAAAATCACAATGTAAAAGTCTAATAAAAACAATATAAACAATTCTACAAATTTTCAAATTGACACAATTGCCGTAACATTAAATTATACAGCAATTTAGTTAAAATAGTTTTTTTTAGATAAATGTTTATATTTGGTTGTCATTACATTTTGAACTGTACCACACCACCTTGCACAGTTGAAGACAAACTTATTAGCCCTTATGAAATTATTATTATTTTTAAAATGGGTCTCAAACTTAGTTCTTGAGGGCCGCAGCTCTGCAGTTTTACTTCAACCCTAATCAAACACAGCTGATCCAAATAATCAAGGTGTTCAAAATAGTCGTGAACACCTTGATTGGTTGCATAAGCTGTGTTTGATTAAGGTGGAGGCAAAACTGTGCAGAGCTGTGGCCTTTCAGGAATTGAGTTTGAGACCAACTGTATGGGTTAACACATGAAGGTTTTTTTTTCTCAACACAATAGTTTTAATAACTATTTTACCAAGATTACATGACACACACTGGATACTATTTTACTAGTTATTTCACAGGATATTCAGCTTTAGGCAATTTACAGTCTTAACTAGGTTAATTGGGTTAAAATTGCACAACAATGGTTTCTGTAGCCAATTAAAAATGTTTTCCCAAGAAGGCTAATAATAATGGTGTAAGTTTTTCTTAATCAGTTTTTTTTTTATTCCAGATAAAAAAGACACTAAATAAAATAAAATAACTAATTTTAAATAAAGATTTAGGCAACATAGTAGCAGTAGGTAGTGCTGTCGCCTTACAGCAAGAAGGTCGCTGGGTCGAACCTCGGCTCAGTTGGCGTTTCTGTGTGGAGTTTGTATGTTCTCCCTGCATTCGTGTGGGTTTCTTCAGGGTGCTTCGATTTTCCCCACAGTCCAAAGACATGTGGTACAGGTGAATTGAGTAGGCTAAATTGTAATTGTATGAGTGTGTATGTGTGTGTGAATGAGTGTGTGTGGATGTTTCCTAAAAATGGGTTGCGGCTGGAAGGGCAACCGCTGCGTAAAAACGTGCTGGATAAGTTGGCGGTTCATTCCGCTGTGGTGACCCCAGATTAATAAAGGAACTAAGCCAACAAGAAAATAAATAAATGAATGAAATAAAGATTTTTTTTAAAAATGTAAATTTAATAAAGATAATGGTTCACATATTTGTAAACACAATCAAATGTACTGTCCTAGCAACCCCAAAATGGTCTCGTTATGACATAACATATTTCCATTTCCGCAGTAAGCTTGAGCTTTAACATTGTGATTTTATGAGTCATATGGATGATGGATTTCATAGCGTCAGTGGCATCCAGAGATATGCATGAACATGTTCAGGTATGAAAACATCCCATTTTCATCTGCCTGACTTCTATAAAGACACCGGGTGGAAAAAAGTGCGTCAGAAAACATGAAACATAGCGGATCGTTCTGAATGAATGTTTTCTACCAATCAATGATGCCTAAACTGCTTTTCTCCAAGATTCGGATCTACGAATTCAAGGAGCTCATTCGCAACAAGAATCAGACAAAAACGTAAATCATTTTTATTAGGTTCTTTCAATACATTAAGTTCCTGAACGTGGATTTATGAGGTTGTTTTCATTTTTTTAATCCCACAGGCTGGATGTTTTGTTAAGTAGGAAAAAGCAGAAAAGCAACATCAGATGTGTTTTGACTCAGAAAAAGACTGAAGTCTCTCATTCTCCGTAAGTTTATGTGTGCTGTTATGTGTATAGTTTATATTTATGTGTATACAATCATTTTAACACAATCTCAAAATTAAAATCATCATTGAATTGGTACTTAATGTGTAAAAATCTTTTACGAATATGGAAAAGGTTTTATTTAGTTAGCAGTTGATTTTAAATGGTTTTAATTACAGTTTAAAGTCAGAATTATTAGCCCCTTCTAATTTTTTAAAAATCTTTTTTTAAATATTTCCCAAATGATGTTTACCAGAGCAAGCAAATTTTCACAGTATGTCTGATAATATATTTTCTCCTGGAGAAAGTCTTGTTTTTTTTAATTTTGGCAAGAATAAAAGCAGTTTTGAATAAAAAAAAACATTTTAAGGTCAAAATTATTAGCCCCTTCGAGCTATTTTTCCCCCCGATAGTCTACAGAACAAACCATCCTTATTCAATAACTTACCTAATTACCCTAACCTTTCTAGTTAACCTAATTAACCTAGTTAAGTCTTTAAACGTCACTTTAAGCTGTATAGAAGTTTTTTGAAAAAAATCTAGTCAAATACTATTTACTGTCCACATAGCAACAATAAAATAATCAGTTATTAGAAATGAGTTATTAAAACTATCATGTTTATAAATGTGTTGAAAAAATCTTCTCTCCGTTAAACAGAAATTGGGGAAAAATTAAATGGGGGGGTGGAGGGGGAGTAATAATTCTGACTTCAACTGTAAACAAATAGTGCAAACTTCATACAAAGGTTCACCTAATTGGGCAAAAGTGTTTTATTTTAATGCTTTGCAGAATTATGGATGGAAAATTTAGTAATTTTAGAAAATGATTTTCCACAGATAATTTGTTTTTTTGAATAAATATTTTAAAATCTTAGCACGTCACACCTTGGGCTAATTTCATTGTGTTTATAAGTACTTTATGTAAATATGGATGGCAAAATATTGTATTTTAGACAGTAGTCCATCTAATTGCATGATCTTTTTTAAGATTACAGGACCATAGGCAAAAGTTGGCTGATCTGCTAGAAAACACAGGTTAGTTCCACCACAAATTATTAATTTATATATAAAGTATATAACAAAACAGAAGTTTTCCTAAAACAAGATTCACTTCCAATGTGTGAGCTTGTTCTTGCTTATGTGGTTTACGAAGAAAAAACTGTAATGACATGTGCATGACGTCATAAGTTACTAAGGTGATTTATGAGGACTTGCTTAGTGTTCTTGTAATTCAAAATAGTTAAAATCAGGGGTGTCCAAACTCGGTCCTGGAGGGCTGGTGTCCAACTGAGTTTAGCTCCAACTTGCTTCAACACACCTGGCAGGAAATTTCCAGTATATCTAGAGCTTGATTAGCTGGTTCAGGTGTTTTTGATAAGGTTGGAGCTTCGAGTTTGGACACCCCTGGTTAAAATCATACTTAACAGGGTCATTAAATCAATATAATTTTACCACAGGTTTCAGGTTTAGGTTTAGGGGTGTTACTGGGGTAAGGCAATATAATAAGCATTTTTACTTTAAAAAATACATTACACCTATGGATATATATTATGTGTACAGTGGTCCCTCACTGTAACGCGGTTCACTATACGTGGCCTTACAGTTTTGCAGATTTTTTTCGTGCAATTTGACATGCTTTTTTTCTATAGCGGATTGTTTTCTGCTTCCTGATTGGCTGTAGACCATTGTCAATCAATCCTCCTCTGTGTCGTGTCTCCATACAGTATAGAATGCGCTCAGCTTGCCAAATTTACATAAATCTTTGATCGCTAGCATTGTGACTTTGAAGCGCTGTACTATATGTTTATAAGTTTTCTCCTCGCAATATTGACGAAACGTTCTGCACCATCAAAGGCAACTGAGCTATAGTACCTAAAAAGCAGAGGAAGGCACTAATCATTATTCAAAAAAGTTTAACTTTTGGACATGTAAAAGGAAGGTAGAAGTTATGCAGCTGTAGGGCGCCATTATGGTAATCTTATTTTCTTCGAAGGTTTGAACTTTGAGAGTGTTTAAACAAGAAAGAAAAGTGTAAAAATGCCTGTCTGAGAGAAGTGTATAAAGTGTGTAGTGAGGGGTTTTACAGTTTTAAAACATCTATAATAATTGTAAAAAAAATAAATTAATCTGACTACTTTGCAGATTTTTCGCAGAATCTCACGGCGATTTGTAACTTTTTGATAGTGGCTAATTCGTATGAATTCGTCTGATCTAGTTAATAAAATTTAGTACGATTTGCTCATCACTCAATGATGGTTGGGGTTGGGTGCCACGCCTCCTTTTTAAAATCGTACATTTTTGTATGACTCAACTCGAACGAATTCATATGATTTTGCCACTAAACTGACAAAACGTAAAATACTTACGTTTCCTCGTGAGATGAGGCTACAAGACTATCTCATACAAGTGTGTGTGTATGTTAAAGGCAATTTTTGAAATAATGCCTTATTTATTCTGATCTAAGTGATCATATGTCATAATTAATTTATTTTACCTCGGCTTAGTCACTAATATATCAGGAGTTGCCACAGCGGATATATATGTAGATAGATATAGATATACTAGATTATACCCATATGATAAAAGTATATAAATATTATACTTTATATACTTTTATCATATGGGTATAATCTAGTATAGGTCATTTCACATGATGTCATTGATGATGCACGAGGGCAGGAAGTGATTTTTCTACATAGGAATCCTTTTATTATAAATATAAAAATTATACACAGGCCAACATGTAGCTAAGTGTATTATATGTTAATGTGTTATAAAAAATCTGATACAAACACAAACACACTTATACAAAATCCAGGAGAATAAAATGATCTGCCCTGCGGCGTAACTGCTGTAATGAAATCTCCATCTTGATTTGCAATAATCCAAGTCTTTACTTGCGTTCTGGCAGAATAAACAACCGTAACATTAACGTGTATATGCGCAGCAGCTGTGAATATTTGTTGATAGTAAGTTCATCGACAGAACATAAAAGAAATGCAACCCTTACAGCAAAACTACGTACACTTGTATTATTTACAAAAATGAATAAATAAATAATAATGTACAGTATGCGTCCACACTTTTGTTTGCTTTCATCTGTTATTTTGTGATGTCAGGAAGATATCCATGTGGGAAAAATAACTAGTAAATTATAATAAACATGTTTTTGAATCAAAGATTAAAGTGTATAATGTGTACAACTCTTTGCTATACAGTAGGTCATAAATTGATTCTTGTTTCTAATTTGCTTGACAAGATATAAGATTTCAGTGTAAGTTCAGAAGGGTGTCTTCTTTAATTCATAATACAAGTAGACATTGATAATAGCACAATTCTTTATTTTGTGAAGGTAAAGAGTTTAAATGTCATCTTGGATAGCACACTTACATTTGAAGATCACATTAATAATATTACATGTACTGCATATTTCCACCTGCGATATATCGCAGTCTCTGCCCTTCTCTCACAACCAATAACACAGCAATTCTTATCCACGCATTAGTTACTTTACGTCTTGACTACTGTAATGCATTTCTTTCTGGGCTTCCTTCTAAACTTCTCCATAAACTTCAACTGGTTCAGAACCATGCAGCTTGTGTCATCTCTAGGACTCCATCTCACAAGCATGTCACACCACTCCTTAATCAGCTTCACTGGCTTCCAGTAAAGCTTCGTATTGATTTTAAAATATTACTTTTAACTTTTAACTTTTAAAGCACTATAAAATCTCGCTCCTCAATATATATTACCGATCTTAGATCAGCTAACTCTTACTCCCTGGTACCACCTCACACTCGATTAAGCACAATGGGATCTTTTAGCTCTACAGCTCCTTGGCTATGGAACTCGCTTCCCCTGGATCAAAGGAGCAGTGACAGTCTTGACAAACTTAAATCTCGTCTAAAGAACCATCTTTTTAAGCAGGCTTTCCTTTAACAATTTTTTTTGCATGTTTTTATCATCTTATTTTATATTCGCGATGTGTGTTTATACCAATTTGGTAATGTTTTATTGCTTGTTTTAATTTGTTCTAGCATGGTTGTTGATGCTTATTGTAAGGCGACCTTGGGTGTCAAGAAAGGCACCATCTACAAATATAATGAATTATTATTATTAAATAATCACATTTTTTGTTGTTGTTCCTCAGATTAAAATACAATTAAACACAATCTAGGACACAATCTAACAGAATCTAATCGAAATACTGAGTAGGTGGTGGGGCTTTCATTTTGCGCATCATTCTCTCATAGCAAACTAACGGTAAGAGGGGCGTAGCTAGGAATATTATGGCTGAAGCTGTCAAACTGACATCAACAGAAGGACTGTTGCTGCTGTGTTTACATTGCAAGATGGATCGACAACAGGGGATTTCACACTGCATAACTTTAAAAAAGTAGGAATCGCCGACAACGTTGTCTTGGTCCAAAAACTACGTCTCACAACCATACACATGTCACGAGAAGTGACATGGAAACAACGCAAGGTCTAATAGTACAGTATATCTTTTGTTATTAACTACAAAATGAGAAAGAAGCCTTTAGTCGGGTAGAAAATACTTATTTTGCTTACCTTGGCTTTTGAGAGCAATTAGTTACTTCTTTTACCCTGTTGTGGTATTGTTCAGATGACCTGTCAAACAGGCACGGGTGCTCCTGCTAAATTTCCACTAGTTTTTCCTTCATTTCTTGAGTGTAAATAGGTCCAAAATGAAGCCCTTTTAACTTCTCCCTCAACCTTCCGCTGGTCTGCAGATATCTATAGTGGATGCTGCTCTCTCAATGGCTGAAGGTAATCGCTGATGTTATTTTCAGTCTAAATTCATTTCACACGGCAGGATTTTGAATCGCAGACAGCCCCAGATATTTAGCATGCTAAATATCTGCACCGTCATGGTCGACTCATTTGCGATTCTCTCAGATCATGTCTTTAACAGTTCATACTGTGTGATTTTTACTTGCGTGAATGAGCACTTGCTCATTTCGGGCATTTGGCTGCGTTTTTTCTAAACCTGTCGGCGAGTCAAAATAGGAGCTTAAATCATGCAGTCTGAACTCGACATTACAGAATTTATACGAGAATTACAGAATTCAGAGTAGGCAGCGGGGCTTTCATTTTGCTCATCATTCTCTAATAATAAACTAACGGTAAGAGGGGCATGGCTAAGAATATTCATAGAACATTCAAGAATAAGTCAGCAGAAGGACCACGACTCCAAAAGCAAAGCTCAGAATTTGATTTAAGATTACAAAAACAAAAAAAAAAATTTAGCAGATTTATTTGCGCGGATTAATTATTTACCTAAAGAATAATAATGTACGCTAGCAAAATTAACACTTCTCACAAACATTAACTCAGAGATGGGTGTATTGATTCTTTATTATTCTAAATTTAATATATTTTCTTTAACAGACTACCTTGCCGCCTTTCAGTCATTCCTGCAGTCTGAGTTTAGTGCGGAGAACATTGAGTTTTGGCTTGCCTGCAGAGAATACAAGCAGATCAGATCAACGGGAAAACTCTCAAGCAAAGCAGCAGAGATCTACAAAACATTCCTCCATTCTACAGCTCAGAAAGAGGTCAGTATGTGCAGACACTGAAGAATTAAATACAGTAGGATCTTTTCAAATTGTGACAGTACATTATGACGAAGGGAAATGCCATTGCATAACAGACTGTTAAACTCAAGCGATTCAGGAAACTTAAAACATTTGAGGAAACATTGCTTTAAAGGAAGAGTTCACCCAACAAGAAACATTCGATCATCATTTAGTCACTTGTTCCAAACAAGGTTATTTCAGTAAATGAAAACCACATCCAAGACTAAAACTGGCAAAAAAATCTATACATTTTGTTAACTAAAATAAAATACAAAATTCACAATATACAGTTGAAGTCAGAATTATTAGCCCCCCTTTGATTTTTTTTCTTGTTTAAATATTTTCCAGATGATGTTTAACAGAGCAAGAAAATTTCCACAGTATGTCTGATAATGTTTTATCTTCTGGAGAAAGTCTTATTTAACTTATTTTGGCTAGAATAAAAGCAGTTTTTTTTTTATATAATTTAAAAATGTAACAATTAAAAAAAAAGCTATATTTTTTCCCTGATAGTCTGCAGAACAAACCATCATTATACAATAACTTGGCTAATTACCCTAACCTGCCTATAGTTAGCCTAATTAACCTAGTTAAGCCTTTAAATGTCACTTTGAGCTGTATAGATTGTCTTGAAAAATATCGAGTCAAATATTATTTACTGTCATCATGGAAAAGATAAAATAAATCAGTTATTAGAAATGAGTCATTAAAACTATTATGTTTAGAAATGTGGGGCTAATAATTCAGGGGGGCTAATAATTCTGACTTCAACTGTACAGTATATAATATCTTGACAGACTTCTTACAAAGTATATTACAATATTTTAAAAATACAAAAATATTAGACACTAAAGTATTTTGATACAACATATTCAGCCATTTTCATAAACCCTATAAAATACAAATTACAATATGCTAATTTGTATTTAAAATACATATTTAAAATACATGTTACGTTAATACTGTCCATCCCTGTTTGTGCAAACTGTGTAAACACTAAACTTTGCTCTGGTCAACACTGGACGTGTTTTGTTAAAGGTGCAGTGAAATTAAAATAAAGTTTTTTAAATGTTAACATCAGTATGTTAGTCTTCAAGGATATCTATAAGCCAGTGTGGCACAAAACAATGACAAAATTCCAGTTTAGAAAACCAATATATAAACATGTAAAGCTTGTAGTTTGTCATTTCCGCTCAAACGTATCAACATTTTTTTCACGTCACTAGTGTTGTCACGATACTGGAATTCGATACCAATCGGTACTGGAATGTCAAAAACGTCAATTTCCCGCTAACATTTGAGGACGTTCTTTAACAGGGAGAAAAATACGAGTCGCAAGTTATGAAGTATTAAGCATTTTAATTCAACTGACAACCAATCACACTCATTTCTGTTGAGCATGTGAACACAATGGCAAATCAGCGCTGTTTAAGAACCCGCTCAATGTTAGCAGGAAATGGACGTTTTTTAATTTTTCAGTACCGATTGGTATCAAATTGCAGTATCGCGTCATCACGGCGTGATTTAGGCTGTATCATTTCAAAACAAATTTGAAGACTCCTTTAAATACGTCCTTCGTTTTCAAGGTAATGAAGGACACAACCAATGGATCCTTCGCCGCCTCGAACATCCAAAGACTCATTGTGCGCTGATAACGGCAGAATGTTTTTAAAAGAAAACTCCGGATTAAATGTATGAAATAGGTTTATTTTACTTGGATATCTTAAAAAAACATGTTAAAAACAAAATGAGTATGACGTGTCTTACTAAAAAGTGATTTTATAGACCGTTTACATTTTTATCTGTACATGTATGGATTAAACAAGTCTTCATCCTTCGGATAATTTAGCCTCTAAAATGAAACGCAGCTATTTTCTTTTTATTTGATGCACTTGAGCTCAACCACTCTCACTGGCAGGTAAAACGAAATGCTTTTGGCTGCTCTTTTGAAAGTGGAAGAGCTACACTATGTCCCGCCCTCTCTGTTTTTCAGTTAAGATTATGACAAATATCGAATAAAAAAATGCACATTTTTAATGCACTTCATAGGACCTTTAACTTTGATATATTATCAAAACTAAAACTGAAATTATATATAAAAAAATAAATAGAAAAGTGTTAAAAATAATAAAAACTTAACTAAAAGTAACAAAACCATTGTTAACACTTTTTTTTGATGGTCCATTTGAGTATTAGTAATATCTACTGATACTGCTCCTTCAACAGATATTTAATTGACTATAAAAAAACTTTGCAAGTACATGTCAACTTACACTAACCCTAACCTCAACCCTAACCCTAATCTAACAGTCTACTAATAATCTAATGAGAATTAGCTGGCATGTAGATGCAATGTAACTTAAATTCAACAAACGAACCATCAAAATAAAGTCTGTGTGATCAACCCATTAAATAAATTAAGTAAAACTAAACTGAAATGAACAGAAATTTAAAAATAGTACTAAAGTAAAAACTAATTTAAAGATGCAATGGTTCCAAACCCGTGTATGTTTCTTTCTTCAGTTGAACACAAAAGATATTTCAAATGTTGGAAACCAGTGACTTTTATAGAACTTATAAAATACTATAAACATTCTTCAAAATATCTTCTTTTGTGTCCAATAGAAAAAAACTAAAGGTGATAAAGATCAATTATCATCTTTTATTTACAAAATGAATACATTATAAATATGATCATGTTTTATTATGCAATAAAAGAGAAGTGGCCAAAAATAGTGTGGCTGAAGGGGCAAACTGATGTCAACAGAAGAACCGCCACTCCAAATGCAAATGGTCAGACTTTGGTAGAAGATTACCAAAACAAACATTTTTGTCAGTGGATTGATTTACATGGATTAGTTGCTCACCTAAAGAGTAACAATGTGCTCTAGAAAAACAAACAGTGTACATTTTGCTGCTGCATGGACTATGAAGGGATATTTGATCTAAAAAAAAGTTGTCACCATTTACAAATCCTCCATTTGTTCCAAACCTGTCAGAGGCTCTATCTTCTGTTGAACACGAAAGAAGATATTTAGAAAAATGTTGAGGTAAAAAAAAACAACCAATGACTTCCATAATAATTTTGGATGTCAATGGTTGCTGGTTTCCAACATTCCCCAGAAAATCTTGCTTTGTGTTCAACTGGAGAAAGAAAGTCATTATCACTTAGAACCACTCCAGCGTGAAATAATCGGTCATTTGTTGTTAAAATATTCCTTTAACAATATAGGTCAAAAACTAACCAGAATGTTTGCATTTGCTATTGGCTTCTCAAACTAAACACCAGTGTAAATGTCACTGCAGATTTAAATTTGCTCCAATAATCTCCCTGAGATGTAAATGTTCCTTTTTTTTTTTAAAGGTCAACATTGACCATTGCACTCGCGAGGAGATCAAGAGATCGTTGGCCAAGCCTGACCTCGGGTGTTTTGACAAGGCAGAAAAGCTTGTGTACAGACTGATGGAGGAAGACTCTTGTCCACGCTTCCTCAAATCTGAAGCTTTTCAGAACCTGAGGAACATGAGCAGGAACCCAATGTAGACCTGAAAGTTCATTCCCTGAAAAAGCACTTCTGAATGAGCTGGCACACTGAAAGAGGACATGCTGTGGGCACGTGGTTTAGAGGAAATGACTGAGGAGAACAGAAAGCGTGGCTTGCAGACGCTCGACTTGATTGTGTTTGATTGATAAGATGAATGAGAAGAAGTAAAACGGAAATCATCTAGAATGGAGGTTGAGGAGAGATGAGCTGGTTGTTTTTTGAAATGGGCGCTTTTCTATAAATTATAGTTTTGAAAGTCAAATTCGATTTCAGAAAAGTTGTTCTAGGGCAAAATAAACATGACTAGTGTTTGAGTCACATGTTTTTGTGTTTGTGTGTGTGTGTGTGTGGTCTTTTATAGTTTTTAATTATTATTTTAATTATGCTAAAAATTTTAAAGACATAATTGAGAAGACATGTGGGACCTTATTTCAAACTTTAATATGCATATAAGAAAAATAATAACAACAATACTAATAATAAGTGTTACAGTTTCCTCCAGTCAAAAGACATGCGGTATAGGTGAAATAAATAAGCTAAATTGGAACGCCATTGCAAAGGTAACAGAGGTGATGATGGTAACACGGTTGACTTTTATACTTTAATTTGATATTATAGCGCCTGTGTTAAAATTCATAAATGTACTTGTTTGACATTTTAATGGCTTTATCTGTGTAAATGTATGGAATTCAAGAATAATAAAAGGTTGACAAAATAAAATAATATCTTACTATAAAAATTGCTAATACATTCCCATGACCAAACTAACAAAAAATGAGAAAACATTCTACTTAATAGTAACATTAATGACATATTAATAACATTTTTTTCAAATGCCTATTTTATACAGTAAATATTCATCAAAGACCGCAACACCAAAGCTGACACAAAGCTTTTTTAATTTAATAAATTCGTATTTTTGGAGTTTTGGTGTTGCCGCCTTTGATGAATATTTACTTTGCACCTTGTGCGATTTTTGGCTGAGCACCCAGTTAAGAGGGATGTGCGTGCTTTTGTACAGGTTTTTCATTATTTTATACAGTAAAAAATGATTATTGTATTGTATCTTACCCCACCCCTAAACGCAACACAATTTAACACAATTAAACACAATCAACACAATTTTGAATGTCAAAAGATTCCACTATGTTTGATTATTAATCATTTCGAATAACAAGGACACTGGGCATGTCCTTATAAACCACTTTAAGATTGTGGCTCCGACGCAATCTCACAGTATTTCGTAACTTTTTGATTTAGTGGCTAATTTATATAAATTTGTATGATCTTATTTGTGCAATTGAGTACGATTTGCTCATCCCCCAATGACGGTTGGGTTTAGGGGTGGGGTTGGGTCCCATGCCTCCTTTTTAAAATCATTTATCTTTGTATGACTAAACTTGTATTAGCCACTAAACGTACAAAACGTAAAAGTTACATTTCCTTGTGAGATCAGTCTGGTTACTCCTACAGGTCATGGCCATGTCATTATATGATTTTGTCCCCGTAAACCACATAGGCAAGTACACACTCACTCACACATTGGATTAAAACTTTTTTAAAGTCGTCCACCTAAAACTATACAGCATATGATGATGGATGACATATTTTTTAAGTTCACATTTGTTTTTATGAAAATCAGGGTTATTCTGCCAAATTCAATTCAATTTAATTCATGTTTATTTATTATAGCGCTTTTGACAATGTAGATTTTGTCAAAGAAGCTTAACATAGTTCTAGTAAAGACCAGATTCAGAGTTGAAAATGTTATACAAATACTTCTCCTGAATACCATGCTATTGTAATATGCAAAATTAATATAAACATGTTTCTAAATCTTTAAATGACAACAATTTTGTTTTGCATTTGGAAGAAATGTCACCAGTGCTGTACACCAATACTTTACACTCACCGGCCACTTTATTAGGTACACCTTACTAGTACCGGGTTGGACCCCTTTTTGCCTTCAGAACTGCCTTAAACTTCATGTCATAGATTCAACAAGGTACCATAAATATTCCTCAGAGATTTTGGTTCATCTTGACATGAGAGCATCACACAGTTGCTGCAGATTTGTTGGCTGCACATCTATGATGCAAATCTCCCGTTCCACCACATCCGCAAAGTGCTGTATTGGATTGAGTTCTTGTGACTGTGGAGGCCATTTGAGGACAGTGAACTCACTGGGATGTTCAAGAAACCAGTCTGAGATGATTCGGGGTTTATGACATGGTGTGTTATCCTGCTAGAAGTAGCCATCAGAAGATGAGTACACTGTGGTCATAAAGGGATGGACATGGCCAGCAACAATGTTTAGGTAGACTGTGGCGTTGACACAATGCTCAATTGATACTAATGGGTGTGTCAAGAAAATATCCCACACAGCACACTGTAAAAGCAAACATGGTATTTAATTAAAAATATTAAATTGACCTTAATCAATTTTTATCAACCTGCTATTAACACTCACTTTTAGTAAGTTACTTGTACTTTGAGGTTGAAAAATCTTACCAGCTCAGTCTGCTTGAGCTGGATTAATTTAGAAAAAGTAAGTTTATGACACTGTGGGCATGCGCAGATCAATCAATCATCCCCAACCAATCAAGCTGCTTCGTAAGGCGGGTCTTGGCGTGGCGGGATTCGTAATTTTGCAAACGGTAGATGAAGCTGGATATCATTGAGCTGGACCTAAACATCGCTTCAACGGCACTTGTGATTATCGTCAGCATAACAGCGATTCTTGTGCTTGGCACACTCATTTGGTGAGTAAATATTTTAATTTACCCTTGCGCAGATCGTTTTGTTTCTGTGTCAGCGCCAGTGTTTTGTGCCTGCTAGTAATGATGTGTGTAGTAATGTCGGCTAACGCTAGCTAACTTTATTATGGACATAACGTGACTATATTTTGATGAAACTTGGTCAATACTTTATTATTTTCAAGACTTTTGTCACGTTAAAATTGAGGAAAAACTTTAGTGTAGCAGTAACGTTAACTGTCCCTCGCGCCCACCTGCCATGTCAGCATATGTCAGTAACATTTGTCATCGAGTACTAACTAGCAGCTAGCATGATGATGACAGACTGATCCCGGCGGTTTGGGAGTTTCCTGAGTTTTATAACTGTTGTTTGTAAGCTCAGGCAGAACATCAGAACAAGTCTGGATGTATAATTTTATTTTAAAATTGTCTGTAAAGACTATGCTAATTTTAGCTACCAACAATAACAGTCTGTGCTTATCAAAAACAGGATTAACGTTACCACTCTGTGTCGACATATGATTGGGGATATCACCACAGTCAACTAACTTAATGTTATTTTATTTAACACGTCGCACTTCATAGTCAATATTCGTAGCTGTGCTGTTTCCATGTTTACCATAGTGCCCACTACCCAGATCAGTCTTGGTTCGCTACAGACAAGAGTGTTTACCTGTCTGAAAAGATCTTTACACTCAGTTTATCATAGTCTGCTATGATAGGGAACATATTTGCTGGCATACTCAGTGCCTTACATTATTCTTTAAGGTCATCTTGTACATAATATGTTCATTTTAATACTGGGAGCTGTCATTGTGGGTTATAGGCCTATGTTACAGCTTTCACATGTACTTGGTTGTGCTAAATTGTTGTATTTTTATTTAACAGTTTCCTTCCAGGCACAAGCATATGGTGATCCATCCACACATTCCATAATCCCAGCAATAAAAGGTATTTTTAACTAATAACTGTATTATTATTGCATGCTAAAGTAAAAGTTATGCTTACATCAGAGCAATTGGATTACAACAAAAGCTAAGAAAATCTTGTGTTGAAATTATTTCATTATAGTATATTTCATCATACAGAATATTTTATGCATATTTTGAATTTCAAATATTTGATGTAATTAGTATTTCTGGACTGTCTCTATAGATACTGTGGGTTCGATTTATAGTCCATCATACCCAGGACAACAGTTCCCTTGATGTCTAACCACATAAGCGAGTCATTTACCATTTACTTTTTGTACTGCTGTATTCACTTGTCTTAAAGAAGTTCATTGATTAAAAGCTTGATAATTAGATTTTTGCAAGGATTTAGTTTTTCCTATAGCTCTGGTATTTCAAATCTGATACTGCATTTGAGTGTTTTTGTCTTTTTATGTTGCTAGGCTTGATGCTAAAATTATCTTTTCTTTCTTTTCAGATTTTCAAACAGTTTTCAAAATGGACCAGAGGTTGTTACTGAGAGTCATCATCGCAGAAGATGATATAAGTAAGTTGACTTTAATTAAGAGACCACAGTCCATTGAAGAATTCAAAGTGCAACTGGTGGATAAACTGTCACTGCAGTATGACTTTAAACTGCAGTATGAAGATCAAGACTCCAATAATGCCCTCTGCAATTTGACTGAAATAACTGATTTACCTGAAAAAGCTACAGTCAAAATCATCCCTCTTGTGACTCTCCATTTAACAGCATTGTCATCACCCACCACAACATTAGACACTGAGGGCAGCACAGCAGACACTGAGATCCTGTCGCCTGTAGGAGCATCACCATCGCTAAGACAACAGTGGCCAGAGTTCTTTGACATACCCAATTAGCACATATCATAGAGAGACAGGTAAGCAATTTTTGTTCTCAACCAATAAAATAATGCAAATAAACATAAATTCAAGGTGTGTGACTAGAAATCCAAACACTTGTTGGAATGTTAATCCCTCTGCCACCTCTCCATCCCTACCCACTCCTCTCTACTTTTTCAGGTGTTTGCTGAGTTTAATATTGCCAGTAAGAATCTTGAGGGAGACTTCTTTGAGGCTCTGGACCAGTATGCCCCACGTTTCATTGAACTTTTCAAAACAAAATAGGGAACTGTTGGCCAGAAACTCAGGGAGCTGATGCAGCACATGAGCTGGATGGTAAGTAGGTTTATTTTGCTTTTGATCTGTGTGATAGTTTATCAATCAAGTTCTAAATGAGACCATCCAGACCAACCTATTTTATTTCCTGTCTGCTTGTGCCTTGCAAATTACTCTGTTAACTGGTCTTTTCTCTCTCTATGTATCATTAGACACCAGACGACACAGTACTTCGCTCTGTTGTCCTCAAAGGCATTCCCATTTTACTCGGTGATGACTCCAGTGAATTCTACAAGACCTGCTCTGTAAGTACTTGCACATAAGAAAAAGTTTGGTCTTGTAGAACACTTAGAATTGAAGACAAGGAGACTTGGTTCTTTCTTCAGCAGGGTTCTTTATTGAGAACATGAGCTGCTGCAGTCAAGCCTGATCAAGGCACAACAAAAGGGTTAAATATATCATATAATTTTATTGACAAGTACACATTTCCATTGCCAACACTTAGTGTCAGATAACTTAAGGACATTGCTATTGCTACAGTTTCTATGACTGCTCCACAGATTTCTTGTTGCAAATTTTACACACTTACACACACACACACACACCCACCAACCTGGAGGTGGACACACACCACACACACACACACAAACTTACTGACACGCTCACACACACTCACACATTCAAAAAGACTCACACACACAGATTCAAACACAGACACACACACTCACACACACTCAAACACAGACTGAGACAAACACACACACACACACTTAAACACAGGCTCACACACACTCACACATTCAAAAAGACTCACTCACAGGTTCAAACACAGACTCAGAGACACACACACACACACACACTTTACCAAAATAAAAGAGGAATCAAAATGAAAACTAAAATTTACAATTTTAATTTGAGTTGTCACTATTATTGCGTGAGCGTTAATAAAGAGCTTTTGTAAAACTATTTGTAGTTTCTTTTTCACGTTTGGCTTTTCATTTTAATATTGGCTGTCTTGCCTCGAGACTGTAGTGAAAATGAAATGTGAAATCACCAATTGCATTATATTTTTCAATTTGACAGGGATGATGCACTGTCACCATGAGAATGAAATCATTTCATTGTCAATTTTGTCACACATTTTGCATACAGTTTTCTCTAATGAAATCGTTAATCTGGTTTTAATTTTCATTTTAGTCATTTAATTACTTAAATTTGGCAGAAAATGTCTTCCATAGATCTTAAACATATTCTTAAATTTGTAATCCTACAGTCTGCATGAACATAAAACTATACCTGCGTTGACATAGATGTAATTCTATCTGCTCAATATACAATATACATTTTGTACAGTGATTGATGTATTTTGTAGGTTGAAAAGTCAGTGTCACTCTTTGAGGATGTATAGACCTTTTTAGCTTTAGTTTAACCATAACAAATATATTTTGTTTGCTTTATTGTTACAATCCAGTGTGAAAACATTTTTAAAACCATATTCTCTGATAACATTACAACACTAAAAAAGATTGTTTTAGAATAGCATAAATTGCAATGCTGAAGAATGTGTGTCTTTTAGGATACAGAGAGAGACGAGGCCCTAGAATGCATCACTGTAGTCCTCACGAGGGTCAAAGCTCAGTGGACCTCCAGCCCATCTCCACTGCCATCATTCTGGAGGGAGGTATTCTCATGGATCATGTTAAAAACTTGCCTCAGGCAGTTTGTCCTTTGTTTGGTCTTACATATGCATTGCATTTGGATACCCAAAATGCATGGCAAATACACTCAACTTCATTCAGACTGTGATGCTTGGACTGGTAAAGAAAAACCTCCCACCAAAACTGTTAACTCCTGAAGAACAGTCTTCTGGGTTAGAACAGTAAAGAGCCATCGGCTGTCAGATAGCACTTTGTAAGCTTTGCAGCCATTAATGTTCTCCTCTTATCAGAGAAAGTTTGATGCTTTCATGGAATTGTTCTCGCTTATTTACGTTCTCAATGGAAAAAAAAAAAAGAATATTCCATTAAAGTCTACCATGTTATGCAGGTATGCTAATGGTGGAAATAGTGCCATGTTGTGTTGCAAAGAGTTGTTAGATGTTATTAGATGATAATGTCAGAAAATAACCTAGCAAGGTTATCCTGTTTACATTTGTGTTTTGGGAAAACTTTTAATGATGTTTTTATTTGTGTTGGTTTAATCCTTGGACTGCTCACTTTGGGACACAAAAGTATGTTGTACTTTCGGTTTTGATCAGAAATGCACTGATTGTGCATGCACTGAAGTCGTCCTGTAGTTACCTGTTTAATATTGGGAGACATGCATACAATTAGCTCACAGAAATGTTTTTATTTTATTTTTTTATATATTTTTCCATGTCATTTTATACAGTTAAATCAAACCACAACTTTGTTGTTTAGCTGCTGTTTTGTACTTGAATGTGCATTGAATAAATTTTGTAATGGAGCTGAATCAAACCCGTGAGTGTTCTTTTAAATTATATGTTTGTGTTGTGTTTGCCTTTATCACATAGTAACAGCAAAAATAGATAAATGGGGAAGAGAAAAGGCCACATTTTGCAGCTGCCCAGGTTTGGGTCCAAGAAGGACCCATTAAAGGAAATTGGTTTCTTTAATTTAAGTGAATTTAAAAAAATGAGTGAGCAGAACTGATAGTGTTAAGTTGTAGGTATTTAGTAATTCTAAGTGGGGTTAAATTTATATCAAGCAATCAACACAAAATGAAAAAATTAAGTTAACACTAAGCATGGCTATTAAGTTACATGAACATAAAAAAAACGTGTTAGTGGTACTACTTGATATAGTACTGCACACTTAAAAAAAACAAGCTTTTCTAACTCACTAATCTTAAGTTTACTTTGCTTAATTTTTTTGAGGCAACGAGTTTGCATACTTTTTTTAAGTAAGGTCAACTAATTACATTTTACAGTGCATTACACTACTAGCACCAGCCTGAACCATAGATACATGGCATGATGAATCTATGTTTTCTTGTTGTTGATGCCAACTTCTGACCCTGCCATCTGAATGTCGCAGCAGAAATCGAGACTAATCAGATCAAGCAAGGTTTTTCCATTCTACTAAGGTTCAATTTTGTTGAGCCTGTGCAAATTGTAGCCTTAGATTCCTGTTTTAGCTGACAGGAGTGGCACACGATGTGGTCTTCTGCTGCTGTAGCCCATCCGCCTTAAGGTTGGATGTTTAGTGCCTTCAGAGTTGCTCTTCTGTATACCTCGGTTATAATGAGTGGTTATTTGATTTACTGTTGCCTTTCTATCAGCTGGAACCAGTCTGGCCATTCTCCTCTGACCTCTGGCAATAACAAGGCATTTGCGCCCACAGAACTGCTGCTCACTGGATATTTTGTCTTTTTCGGACAATTCTCTGTGAACCCTAAAGATGGTTGTGGTTAAAAATCCCAGTACATCAGCAGTTTCTGAAATACTTAGACCAGCCCGTCTGGGTCACCTTTCTTCCCAATTCTGATGCTCAGTCTGAACTGCAGCAAATCGTCTTGACCATGTCTACATGCCTAAATGCACTGAGCTGCTGCCATGTGATTGGCTAAATAGAAATTTGCATTAACGAGGAGGTTTTGTACAGGTGTACCCAATAAAGTGTTTATTAATAAAGTCTAATAATATTAATAATAAGCTGTGTATTATTACTTTTATTATTTTTTTATTATTATTAAACATTCTCACAATAAAAACAACAACAACAAAAAATACTAGACAGTTATTGACATTTGGATCAGACATTTAGTTAATTCCAATTGTGATCCCAAATCATTTCATAATACATGACACCATTAATTTTTCTCTTCTAAATTTTTACAAGTTGTGTAAATCTCTTTTCAGTCCTCCAGTATGTAGAGTCCAAAAAATCCTGCCATCTTTACGATCAGACACACAAACATTGCAGAGGAGCACAAGATCTATTTTTAGACTCTCCACATTCAACCCTGACTAATTATGAGCAGAAAACCAACTCAGAGAAGACGTTTTTCAAGCTCCGTGAACAACTGTGTTTTGGTCACATGTCTGATTTCAGCTAACTGATGCATAGAGATGAGCCTGAAGCTAAAGACGTTGCCATAAAATACAATAATAATCCCTGTCAGCGCTTGACCTCACTGTGACAAAGACGGACTTTCTCAAGTTGAAGACTTAAAAAGGCAATTCTAAGAATAACTGTGTTTGATAAACCTAAGGCTCTACCAAAACAGTGGTCTGATGCATGATGGATCGCCTTCAGCTTTATGGCCTTCTTGGGGAAGGTAATTCAGCCATGAAGACAGCAATGTTTTTAAGTGCACTGGAAATTACACTGAGCTTAATGGATTAAGATGCTTTTTTAATATTGCAGGATTACTGGGTGCACATTATTTGGTTTGATGAGTGGGAGAGAACAAAATGGCATAAAAAACCCATCAAAATGCTTATCGATTTGACATCTGTTGCCCACCTTGATGTCAAAATTACATCAAATTGTCATCTTACATTGGCGTCAAAAACCATTACAAGATAAGTCTTTATTCTATATTAACAACCGCCTGGTTGTACTTTATCCCACTTAATACTTGCCACAAAACATAAAAAAGACACAATACATCGTTCTGAACTATAATAGTTTAATAATTCTTTATTTAAAGTAGTGGTGGGCCTTTATTGTCAAGTAGCGGTGGGCAGTGCTGTGTTAACGCAAAATTCTTATCGGGTAACAAAAATAAAATTGCCGCTAATCAATTCTCAAAGTTGGGTTGGGAGCTGGGTCTATTCTACGCAAACTATGATGACTTTCACCTTGATATTTTAGCGCGAACGTATACCTGGCTGAATTGTACTGTAGGTGGCGAGAACAAGTCTTCGAATCTTCTTGTATTCCTACTGTGAAATTACCACATCAAACATGACGTGCTAACATGGATGCAGTTCACTAAAGTGAATTTGATTAATTTTAGCTCCACATCTAACTATCAGGCACCTGTAGAGTTTATGCGTTCAACTAAACATATACAAATAAAATGAACTGGGTGCTTTTTTAAATGAATGATGGTGAATAAAAATCAAAACAATGAGCCTTCTGACAAAAAAGTGCCCTTCTGAATCAAATCAGCAGGATGCCCTTCTGGATCTTTCACTTACTTTGAAGACACTACTGACTATGCTTACATGAACATCTGTGATCTAGTTATTTGCCTTAAAAGACAATAATATAATTAAGGTGTTTACGTGAAGTTTTCTTCATATAAGATACTGTATTTTTGGGTGACTTTAACTACAGTTCGGTAGTTTCGCAGTCACTCATGAACATTTTATCCATGCCCCATGACAAACTGGGGTATTAGACACAAATAAGGAGGAAGGACTGGTAAGAGTGTTATGGATTGTAATAACGCACGCCAAATGGAAAGAAAAAGACTTCCACATTTTGCAATGTGTTTGTGTGTGTGTGTTTGTGTGTGTGTGTGTGTGTGCGGTCCTTTACTGACAGCCGTGTGTGAGGATCTTGTCGGAAAATGTGGCGAAAAGTTCTACATGACGGTAATAGTTTGATTGCGGTGTTTACTTCAATAATGCCACTAACATCTGCATACTCCACGTCTTAATTCCATTTCTGTGTAGTACAGTTATGACTTTAGTCGGACTAAGGTGATCAAAAACCGCTGTTTTGAGCTATGTAGGCCTACAGTTCAAAATTCATGTTTAACTGAATAAACAGTTATTGAACATCATTTATTTTTGTCACCAATTATCATAATAGAACAGTTTCTCAAACAGTTTGTGATGCATTTTGGAAACAGGAGATAAGCCCCTGGTCTAATGCGCCACCTGGCTTGAGAAACCTGTTCTCAAAGACTTACTTTTAGTCATTATTTGTGTAGCACACATATTCTGAATGCCTTTGGCAGAATTCAAATGAGCCATTTTAATCTAGATTAATCTAGATTAATTCCAAGATTAAAGTGAGATTAATCTAGATCAAAAATGTATCTATGCCCACCTATAATTTAAAGGCAAAACTGATAGAAACAAAAATGGCGGAATGGAGCATATACACTAACCTACGTATTATTCAGTGACAAGATGGTGCCAAACAGTGAAAAACAGTGGTTTTACAGACAAGCATGTAAATATGTATATGAGGCACTGATGGTGAGCCTGTGTTATTTAGCGGTTGTTATCTGGGATTATCTCGCGACTGATCAATCAGAATCAAGTATTCCAGAGTCATGTAATAATCGAATGTAGCATATTGCACGAATAATTAAATCCAACATTATTTTATACTTCCTATACCTTCCTTTCTCATCTCAACACAACATGTTGTCACTCAGAATTGAGACTGATGTGAAATCATGTTGTAACACAGCCAAAAGGAAATTAATTGCAAAGGCATCCGATCATTGGCCAAACGTTTCATCAATCTGAGAGTTACCCACTTTCAGTCACGTCCACCAATCTTGCTGCCAATCTGCCTATTATCTGTGGCCTAAAACACATACTGAAAGGAAATGAGTAATGTTCAAAGGCGCTGGCGTCGCCTGAGGCAGAAAATTACTCAATTGCGCACAATGGAGAAGCAGAGAGTGTGAAAGTATGTGCGCTGGTCAGGTGACAGTGAGGATTTACACACTAACACATGGAGACCAGTGTCAACACTCGGCTGACAATACCCATTTATGGAGAAGTCAACATATGGAGAAAGTTACTTAATACAGGGTTCCCACACCTTGGTTAACTTCAAACTCAAGGACCTTTCAAGTACTTTCAAGTTCCAGAACTCTCACAGATGCAATATATTGTGTGACACATTACACAGTGTTCTCCTGTAAGATATATTGCTACAGTTTTCATGTGTCAAACACAACTTTACAAGAAAAAATTCATTTATTTTCTTTCGGCTCAGTCCCTTATTTATCAGGGGTCACCACAGCGGAAAGAACCGCCAACTGTTCCACCATATGTTTTACACAGTGGATGCCATTTTAGCCCCAGCCCAGTACTGGAAAATGCAATAAAAAATTCTTTCATTTATTCTTAGCCATGAGAGAGATCTGATATTATATTTGTCATATTTCTGTTTTGTGTAAAACTAATGAACATAACACATCCTATACTGCATTTTTAAATGATTTGATAATACATTTTTTGCATGGATTCCATTGAAAAGAGCTCACAGGTTCATTTAACCAGAAGTTTGAAGGTTTATGAATATGCCTTTATGTTTTTCTTGCATTATCCTAACAAGCAAAGCATTTCAAATTCAAAGTAATTCAATTTAAAATGTTGTATTAAATAAAATATTTAGGGAAGAGATTATCAGAAGTTTCATGGGCATGTGAAAGTCATGACCAAGTAAAAAACTATGTGTAAAACATGATAAGCAACACATAATGTGCAGTAAGCAAGAATGCAGAAAAGTGTTGGCAAAATAACACATTAATGA